TCCGTTGCCCAGGCTGTAGTGCAGCGGCATGATCATAACTCACTGCAGCCTCAAACTCCTGGGCTCAAGCGATCCTCCTGCCTCAGCCTCTCGAGTGGCTGGGACTACAGCTACTTCCCTTCCTAGCCTGGGAAAGAAGTTTCCAATCAAGCAAGAGTGAAGCAGGGCCCAGACGGAGGGAAGTGGGGGCCGTGCAGCCAGGGCGGGGGCTCCAGGAGGAGGAAGCACAGTGGAAAGTTCTTGGGGTGGGAATGTGCCTGGTGTGTTGAAGGGGTGATGGGGAGGCCAGTGTGGCTGGCACAGACTAGGAATCAGGAGAAAGCAGCTCAGAGAGGAAACTGCAGGGTGGTACAGGTTGTGCCCACATAAGGCCGGTGGGCATTTGCTCTGGGGGAGGTGGGAGCTACAGATGGTTCCCAGTGGAGCAATGACATGACCTGATTGCCATTGTGAGTAGATCCCTCTGGTGTGACAATGGACACCACCAGGCGAAGGCAAGAGAGGGAGACCAGGAGAGAGAAGATGAGGTAGGGGTCTGAGAAGACGGGATTCCAGAGGCACTTTACAGAAAGAGCTGTGGGACTCCCAGAGGGACAGGATATAGGTGAGAGTACAGGCAACCGGTGGCCCAGGGCTGCTGGCTGGAGCTCTAAGAGGTGGGAACTGCCCAGCCTGAGCAAGAAGGCTGGGGAATGAGGTGCTAGGATGTCAAGAGATGCCCAGGGAGAGATGGGGAGGGGCCTCTGGTGGTCAGCGCAAAAAGCCCGAGGCTGGGAGGCTGATGACCCCAGGGCTGGCAGCAGCCCTTGCCCTCCCCAGCCTGACTGCCAGCCTCACCCTCAGTCGGGTCCTCCTTGCCCCACTGCAGTTGCCTCTGCACAGTGTGGGGACTGGTGCAGCTGCCCAAACGGCAGCACAGTTGGCGGCATGCTAGGGACCGGCCCCTGCTCTTTGGCCATCACCCCGCGGATGTGGTTCGGGTGTCACTTGTGTGCCCTTACTGTGTACCTGCTCTGCAGAGGCCCACCCTGTCTCCTGGGCCAGTCGGGGGTCCTCACCTTACCTCTGCTCACCTGCAGCCCTGGGCCTCCCCTGCACACCCTCCCCTGTGGGGGAGATCCTCTTCCTCACCCATGCCCCCCCCTGGGTGCCCCACAGCCCGGGTGCCTCAGCCTCGAGTTGGTCCTTGCTCAGCCTGGCTACAGGGAGTTGATCTGAGCCTCCAACCCCCACAGAGCTTGGGCGAAGACTGCTGAGGGAGAAGGGGAGTAATGGGTTATTGGATTCTTCCCACGGTGGGGGCTGTTCCCTGTTCCCCGTTGGCCGAGGCGCTCTGCACACTGTGGTGGATTTGTGTTTCTGGGGTTTCTGGGTGATCATTCTCTGGGCACCAGGTCCATCCACACTGTCTGCAGGGACCTGCTCTGCTCTTACCTCCGAGCTTCTGAAGCCAGCCCCTGCCCCCTCCCCCTGCAGTTGTGCTCTGGCAGGTGGCACCAATATCTGGCTTGCTCCCCTTCCCTCTAGGTCTCTGTCCCTCCCCCCAGCCACTTCTCTGGGAACAGGACACTTACTGTGATCTGATGGTGTCTGCTCATGCGTTCATCTGCCCGTCCTGTTAGCCACAAGATGAGGAGTCCCTGCATCATCCTGGGGTCTGGTGAGAGGCTGGGCATTTATTTAGCTCAACTGGACATCAGGGACTTCAGGGTGTCCAGCCTGAGGCTGTGAGTGTTTGGTCAGGAGCCCCCACCAAGCCCAGCACCCAGCCTCCAAGTGGGAGGAGGGAGGAATTCCCATGGGTGGGCCAAGAGTGGCAACATTGTGAACAGGAGGGGGCTGAGCCTAGCTACTTCTACAGTGGCTCCCACCGGCTGGGAGGGCAAGGACTTCCCAGCAAGGCAGCCCAGGACCCAACACCCAGCACACAGGAAGAGCCCTGCATGTCCTACCTCCTCTTCTCCCACCTGGGGTGAGCAGGAACCCCAGAAGGTGAGCACCCCAACCAGCGGCACCTGCCTCCTCCATCTCTGAGGTCCAAGTTCAGCCCTGAGAGCTGGGCTGTGGGTGGGTGGGGTCACAGCCCCAGGGCCAGGGTGAGAGGTGGTCCTGGGCCAGGTGCTCTGTGCACTCTTATCCTTCCCCAAGCTTCTCCTGCCATCTCTCTAGCATATGGAGAAACTGAGGTCCTGTTGGCTGAAGACTCTCCCATATCCTCACCTACCTGTCATCACCCCAGTTCTGTCCCTTCCTCTTTAGTGGTCCTGCCTTAGTCCTAGTCTCTTCCTGGTGGGCACAGGCCTTTCCCTTATGCGTGGGCTCAGGGCCTGGCCACCTAGTTTTCTGGCCCCTCCCCCACCTCCCATTAGCCTCTTTGACACCCGTCTGGCCAGCAGGGAGGCTTGCTATTGCAGCCACGGATGCCCTTTCTGGGGCCTGGGACTCACTCCTGGTCAACTCTGGGACGGTGGACAGTGGCATGGTCCATGCTCGGTCCAACCGCAACTCTGGGCACCCCCTCAGCCTGGCTGTCTCCAGAGGCCCTCAGGAATCTTGCCTGTATGACTCAAACCCAGTCCTTTGCCTATTTGCCAGGGTCATCCCTGGACCCTCTGCCCCTGCCTCTGCCTAGTTTGGAGCAGCCAGTCCAGCCCCTGTCATTGCTGCCCTGCTGGACCCAGCACAGCACAGATGGACAGACCACAGCCTCCCACCTGGACAGGGCCCAGCCACCCCCGGCCATCCCCAGTTCCCTTGGGTCCCTGGCAAGATCCCGTCCTTCCTCTGCTCACTGTTTCCTGGGACCTGGGGTCCAGTGCCCACTTCCCAGGGGGATGAGTCCCCCTCCCATGCCTGAGTAGTCGATCCCTTCGCTGGAAGGCTGCACTCACTTGCAAGCTCTGCAGGCCTCAGTCTGTCTCCCTAGAACACCCTCAGCTCACATCGCCTACCTGGCCCTGAGGGTTCTCCCCGAAAGCCTTTTCCTCCTAGGAAGCCCCTTCTCCTACCTGCCCCTTAAACAGAGTAGTCTGGGTCTAAGCTGGATGTGTGGCCCCACCTCCAAGCAGGCGGCTGTAGGAAGAGGCTGGTCCCGGACAGGGAGCAGCAGAGGAGGCAAGGTAAAACGTACCCTGTTTTCTGGGCCTCACAGCTTTGGAGCTCGACCCCCTGGGCCATGGGGATCCAGACCTGGTCCAAGGCCTGGAAGTGGCTGAGAAGTGCCCTGGAGGTTGTGTGGAAACAGGACAAGGTTCCAGGGGCTCCAGCAAGCCCTCCTCTGCCAGCAGGGATGACCCCATGCCTCTGCCTTGCCCGCGGCCTGAGTCAGACCCACTGGGCAGGGTGGGGTTGGCGAGGGACGCGCCTCGTCAGCCAGGATAGGGATCACAGGGCTGGGGGCTGGCAGGCCCTTTCCACCGGGATCTCAGGGTGCGGGTCATGGGGCGGTACACAGACACGCTGCTCGGTTGTTCTCTCACCGGTATTTTCTGAGCACCTATTGTGTGCGGGAGCCCGCAGCCAGTGCCCGCCCGTGCCCCCAGGTGCGGGGGCGATACACGAGCGCCCCCACCCCGAGGTCCTTTGGCTTGCAAGGGGCTAGCAGGGAAGGCGGGACCGGGCGGTCGGGGCGGGGCCTGGAGGCGGGGCCGGGCGGTCGGGGCGGGGCCGGGAGGCGGGACCGGGCGGTCGGGGCGGGGTCGGACGGGGCGGGACCGCTCGGAGCTGGGCGCTCGGCGGCGACCCGAGCCGCGCCTGGACACGGCGCTGGGGGAGCGGAGCGGAGCTCGGCGGGTAAGTCCCGGCGGGGTGTGGACGGGCGGCGGGTGGGCGAGCGGGTCCCCGGGCCTTGGTCGCCGCCGCGCGGGGCCTGGCGGCGCCAGCCTGGTCTCGTCCGGCTCTGCCCGAGGAAGCGCGGGTTGAGAGCGGAGGGGCGGGTGACGTTGGGTCCCGGAGGCCTAGGGCTGGGGGCGGTGTAACGCGCCTGTCCCGCGTTCCTCCCGTCCCTGTGTCAACGCCCCTGGACCCCGGTACACAGCCCACGCAGCCGGACCTCCACAGGCTTGGGTGAGCATTTGCTCCCACCTCATCCTGGGAATCCAAACTTTCCTTGCCTGTTGGCCTGATTCACACTGAAGTGTGAGTGGCTGATAGCCGTGGCTCATATGGGGAGCGGTGAGTCTCAGAGCAGATGGCAGAGGGGATGGGAGAGGCGGGGTTGGGGGCAGCCCTTTCACACGTGGCCCCTAGCAGCCCAGCCGGTCCCTGCAGCTTCTGCCTTGGCTCCTTCCTGGGATGTTGAGAGGGCCTGAGCCCTGTCGTGGTGTGCATGTCCCTCTCTGTGCCTCAGTTTGCTCATCGTTGACACTGGTGACGGCAGTGCATTCTGGTCAGGTGGCCATGCTAAGTGCCTTTCAGAGGTGGCTTTGGCCTGGGGCAAGTGCTCCGTGTGGACTCCTGTGTCACCGTATGGACAACATGCGTGTGGTCTTGTAGGCAGTGTACAAAGCAGACCTCAACATGAAGGGGCTCAGGAAATGTCACCTTCTGTGACGTTGAAGATGAAGTATGTAGAATTTTTTTTCACAACAGTCTGAAAGCAAGGCCAAGGGTTTTTGTCCTGGACTGGGAGCAGGACTCTGAGTTCAGGTCAGCCCAGCACCGACTATGTGACCTGGGTGAGCCCCTGTGAGCCCCTGCCCTCATGGCTTTGGCCCTGCAGGACCAGATGAGGGGCTGGGCCCCACCCCCTCCTACCTCTCCCTAGTGTGTCCTTTACCTGGACACCCTTGGAGGGAGGCACCCTGGGAGCCCGGCCTCGGAGCCCTACACACAGTGTTCCGCCCCTGGCAGGACAGGGAGATGGGTGCCAGGGGTGAGGACTCCCTTTCCCTGCCCTCCACCTGGCTCCCCGTTACCTGGCTCTGTGCCCTGTGTTGGGACACACCCTGGCAGAGGGGGCAGGCAGAAGGACAGGTAGGCAACCCAGTCCTGGAACTGACACGGCCATCTGGCAAAAGGGGTGCTGACAGGGGGCTTGGCTTTTTGGGGGAGGCCACCAGGTCTTTAAGGTCGTGGAGGAGCCCACCAAGGAGGCTGGCCTGGGAGAGACAGAGGGAAGGAGGTCAGGCTCCAGGCCTGCCCTGGCCCTTCCTGTTCACATGGACAGAGGAAGCGGGGTGCTGAGTCAGCCCCCCCAGCCCCAGCCACATGGATGAATGCACACTTGCAGGCCTGCAGATGGGAAGCCTGAAGGGGGACGGAGAGATGCAATGGCCAGCCTTGGTTGCAGAGGGGCTGGGAGGAAGGGCACGAAGTCAGGCCTGGGTCTGGGATTTGAATTCAGATGCCACCACTTAACAGCTGTGTCTTTGTGGTTGGGAGGCTTCATGTTGCTGAGCCTCCATTTCCTCATCTGTAAAGTGAGGGGCATGAGCCCCTTTCTAGCTCATGGGTGGCTGGAGTGCCCAAGGGGCTGGCAGGGACACATGGTTGGTGTTCAGTGATTGTGAAGCACTGGGAATCCTTCTCCTGGCCCTCAGGGATGCTGTGTGTCCTGGAGGGACAGCAGGGACAAACTGGGCCACCTCGGCTTGGGTTGGTGTGGGGGCAGGGCTAGGCTTGGAGAGGCCTGGGGCAAATGGCAGCCTTCCACATTGCTGCTCACCTTTGATCCAGAGGTGACTCACCCATAGCCATTAGTCTCCTGGGTGAGGAACAGCCAGTGTTGGGAGCCACCTGGGTCCTCAGAGCTCCATGTGGGGCACCAAGGGTCAGTGACTGTGGTGGCCCTGCCCTCCTTTCACTGACTGGCTGGTAGGTGGCCTTGGCAAGTCCTGGGCATATGCATATATGTTTCTTTTTTTTTTCATGAAAATATTACTTCTTGGACATGTATGTTTCTTTAATAACCCCAGGTGACTTGGCTGGCACTGGGCAGTCTGGGAAGGTGAGGACAAAGGCAGGCTGGCCAAGGGAGGTGGGCTGCACGTGGGCCAGTGGATGTCAGGCTTGCACTTAGGAGGAGTGCCCTCTGAGCCGTGGCTTGTGACTGCGAAGGTAGGGACAGACTGAGCCAAATGCTGGCAGTAGGACCAGTTTGACCAGAGTGGCCTATGTGGTGTGCTCCAGGTGTGGTGAGAGCATGGGCAGGATGTGGTGTGGAGGGCCTGGGAGGCAGGAGGAGGAGGATTCAGACCCTGGAATCCCCCCAGGGTAGGTGGCCCCTCCCCAGGAGGCCTTTGGATGCCTCCAGTGACCCTGTCCCTCCCAGCTGGGGACAGTCCCACGTATGGGCTGCCTAAGTCCCAGAGGTGGTGGTGGGGAGCATTTCCACCTCACTGCCTGGCCCCCTCCCTGAGCACTAGAGCCACCCTTACCACGCCTCAGCCTGTATGGGGAAGGGCCGGACAGGATGGTGGTGACGGTAACACAACTGCCTCCCAGCCATGGGCCAGGAGATCAGGCTAGGTGAATCCGCTTTCTGGCCCTCAGTTCCCTGTCCTGTAAAACAGGGGTGATAGAAGCCCCTGGTTGGGGGCCACACTGCTGGATTTGGGCTCGGTGCCAGACTACACCTGAACTCCAGGGCTGATATGAATGAAGTATAAGCCCAGGCTGAAGGGCAGGGTGAGCTGTGGGTCAGACAGGAATTCAGGGTGAGGGGCCTCATGGTGCTCAAGGTGGCATTGGCTCCCAGGTGGGGACGAAAGGGCCTGGTTGCCCTCCCCCACCTTCTTCCTTCTTCCCAGCCACTGTCACTTCCGAGGCTGCCAGAGTGGGTGCCCTGCTTGCCCCCCTGCTCCAAGTCACAGACCACGCTGGAACTCCTGGCCCCAGGATCCTGAAGTGACTGACCTTTAGCCCACATGGGTTGGCCACAGCAGGTTCCAGTCATATCTGACCCATCTTTGCCAACTGGCCTCCAGGAAGAGTGTGCTCAGGGGCAGTGGCCTGGGAGAGGTCAGAGGAGTCCTGAGGGGTTGGCAGGGCATCCACATGTTATCCACACCCCTGCCCTGTAGCCACGCTCTGATTCCGAGAAGTGGCCTCTGCTTCCTTGTGAATCAGATGTTTACTGCGCACCCGCTGAGCCTGGGCTGCGGGCGCGGCCCAGTGCCCGCGTGCCTGCTCCAGCCGGCTGGGTGGGGTGTACCTGCCTGCTCAAGCCTGCAGAGGGAGGCCAGGTCCCCGTCCCAGGATCTGCCAGGCTGGCAGGCAGTAGCCCCAAGATGGCGGTGTGCAGGCCATGGCAAACGGGGCCGAGGCAGTCCGAGCAGGCGTCCCAGGAGCTTCTCAGAGCAGGCACGGTGTGAAGCAGCACAGGGCTTCTCCCAGGAACCAGACCAGAGGGGAGCTGAGTCGTGGGGCTCCAGGTGGCCTGTGTCTCAGGGCTTCAGCTCCCTCTTTGTGAAATGAGGCCTAACTCATGGGACCTTCAGGAAAATGGAATGAGGTACTGCTGAGAAACCCTCCCCATAAGCATCGAGCTGGGGCCTCCCTGACCTTGAGCCCGCATGGTGGGCAGCCCCACTTTGGGGAGTTCCTTCAGCCTTGGCAGAGAGGTGTTGTAGTCCAGCGATGCTGCTCTGTGGCATTAGAAGGACTGTCCCTATGGCCTTGCCACTGTCCTGAGCCAGGTGTAGGAATCTGCCAGGTCCCCAGCCCTCATGCTGGCCACCTGTAGCCAAGGTTGGAAGAGGTCAGGGGCCAGTCCGGGGGCCTGGAATGCGAGGGTGGTACTTGCTTTGTCCCATAGCCTTGGGAGTTCAAGGCAGTGCCCACAGTGCACCTGGAGCCTTGGCTGGGAGGCTGGGCCATTGCCACCCAACCTCACCCCTGCCTCTGGTGCAGTGATGGGCCTTTTCAGAAAGCAGCTGCCCCAGCCCTCTGTCCCGCCCTACATGCTGGGTGCCTGGTGCCACGCCCTGGGCCAGGCATGGGCCACAAGAGTTGACAGGTTGCAAGCCGGAGGGCAGGACCTGCTGACAGATGCTCATAGGTAGCAGTTCAGCCTACCTGGCTCACTGTGCCACTCTCCCTCGGGAGCAATTTTTATTGAAAACATAAGTGTTGGTCCTGCTTGATGCTCAGGATGACCTCCCTGGCCACCCCCACCCCCGAGCTTGGTGCTCCTTGAGCCCCTAGCCTGGTCCATGGTTACCTTGCATGTTGACCTGTCTGCCTGCCCCGCCGCCCACAGGAGGGGTGAAGGGAGTGTGCACTCTCTCAGTCCCTCCCTCCTGGGCCGGGAAGTGAAGGGGTGGCGGGTGGGCTCTGCCAGGCTCTTTGAAGTTGGCTCCTTGCTCTCCCCACCTGTGTTTGATATTGCACTGAGCATCGGAGACAGGTGTGCCTGTCATCCTGGAAGCTGCTGCCTGGTTGGCAGAGTTTCTGGTCAGATAATGGCAGGTTGTTGTGCAGTGGCCTTGCACGAAACTCTTCAGGTTTCCATCGTAGCACTCCACTCCCACCTTTGGGCTCCATCTGGACAGCTACCATAGCCTACCACCTGGCCACTCCTGGGCCTGGGTCCAGTGGCCCCAGCAGCGGTACAGATAGGGAGACTGAGGCCTGGTGAGGAAAAATAAGTGCCCAAGCGCTGAGCTGTGTGCCCTCACCTGAAACGGAAGCATTTTCTTTCTCTGTGGCCGCTCCTTTCTAAAGATGTATATTGGGCCAAGATTGGGGTCAGTGTGGCCTACGCTGAGCTGCCTGCTGCAGAGGGGTCCTGGGCTGGGGGTCTTAAAGAGCCAGTACCCGAGCCAGATCCCAGCAAAAGGTCAGATTTGTGACCATCAGGAGGGTGGTGGCCCACAATGGCTGGCCTGAGTGGACAGGTGTGGGGAATATAGCCCAGGGCTGGGACCAGGCTCAGAGCTAGAGGATGCACACCAGGAACTCAGCACTCATCATGTCTCTTGAAAAACATCTCTCCCTGACCCCAGCCGCTTCCTCTCCTACTCGAGGCCAGAAAGGGAAGCTGCTTTCCCGAGGGGTGTACAGCTGGTGCAGACCCCCTCAGTCCCCCGATGGGCCTGGCCTTGGCAGGTAGGTCAGTGGTCAGCTGGGTGGTTTTGACCCAGCAGAGCAGAGGAAGGAGTGGCTGTGTCCCATGGTATGGTACAGGAAGTGACTTCCTGTTGCTAACCCCTTCTGTGGCCTAAAACCTCCAGGAGCACAGGGGTGGCTGCCTGGTGCTCAGTGGGCTCAGATGGCTCTGCTAGGCTAGGCTGTGTGACCTGGGCATCTTTCACTATCTCTGGGCAGGATGGGGACAGGAAGTCCAGCCTCATGGGGTCTGTGAGGGGCATGGAGTACCCACCTAGCTGCTGGTAGTGACTCATCAGGAGCTGGAGGCAGCACAGCCCTGGAGCCTCTAGAGTTGGCTTCCAGGGGGAGGTACCACCACCTGCCACCCCACGCCCACCGTGTCTCAGGACTTTGTCCCTGCTGTACCTCTAACTGGCCACCCTTCCCACGAATCCTCCCCACCACACCTATTCCTGGTCTTTCCACTTCCCCAGTGGGAAGGGCATGCTGCTCCAGGGGTCCTCACCATGACACTTTGCTGCCTGGCATGAGCCAGGGCCGTGACCTGCCCCCCCCAGTGCCAGCTCCCTGCCCCACAGTTGGAGCTGCTCCAGGAAGGGGCCATGGGGGCAGGAATCTCTGGAACTGCCCTTTGGGGCCCTCACTAGGACTGGGCCCAAGTTGGTTCCAGACTCCAGGCTGCAGCTGCCTGAGGAGATGGCTGGGGCCTGGGCCTGAGGAGGCTACCCCCGGTCCTCTTGTCAGGGAGAGGGGCCTGGTCGTGGCTCCAACCACTGTGGCCCTGATGTCTACTGGCTCTAAGGTGGGGGAAGGGCAGAGCCCATCGCTGAGCCCCCAAGCCAGCCTGGGTTCCTGGCTTCAGGAAGGTTTGCCACTTGGGGCAGGAACTCTCTGGGATCAGTCTTCCCATTTCCTTGAGACCAGGGTGTGAAGGATGACCAGGGAATGTGACCAGGGTGTAAAGTGCCATGGTTGGTGGTAGCTGCACATGCTCTGGGGGCAGGAAGTTGCTGGGAAGGAACAGGATTGAGAAAGGACCCCACACCCCAGCGTCTGTAGAGAATCCAGCAGGCTCTGCCCCAAGCCAAGTTTCCTGCCAGCCAGCACCAAGGGGTCCTGAGAACCTAGTCCCCCCTCCGCCCTACCGTCCAAGCCCTCTCTGCTGGGTTTTCTGGCTGAAAAGCGGCATGGCCTGTGGAATCTCACTGGGGACGGAGAGGGCACACCTGACTCACTCTGGGGCTGTGTCCTTGTGGCACTCACTGAGCTGTGCTGCCTCCCAGAGGCAGTGCGGCCTGCCTGGGCCTGAGCTGCCTGGGCTGCCATGGACATGCCCCAGCCAGGAGGAAGCCTTAGGGGCTTGGTTCCGGGCTCTGCTGACCACCAGAAGCTATCTTGCTTCTGGGAGTTTCACATTGGCCCAGCATTAGATAGGAGCATTTGCCCATGACCCCATGGGGCAGAATGCAGGGCCAGGCGGGCACTTCACCTGGGCAATCTGGTGAAGCTCCTGAGGCTCCCATGCCAGGGTGGGTGCAGGGGGGCTGGGCAGATGGGAGAGCACAGGCTTTGGGGCTCCCACGTGTCTGAGGCCGTGGTGGCCGGCAGCCCCCAGTGGAGCTGACCACCCCTCTGGGAGGGGCCCAGCTTGGAGTGCCATCCCCATGGTGTAGAGGGGAACAGACTTCTGCCAGAGGCCCTCCTTCCCCTGCCTCTTACTGAGCACCGCTGAGGGCACTGTCACCCGCCCTCCTTCCCCTGCC